AGATTTAGATCTTATAATTAATAAATTATGAAAATTATAGCATAGTCTTGGTGTTTTGTTAAAAAATAGCGAGACTTATTAATTTTATATTGATTTTTAAGAGACAAGTGAACAAGTTTACAGAATGCCAATGGCTTTAAAATCACTAAATAATCACTCAAAAACTATATAATAGTCTTAAACAAGTATATATGGTGTAATATAATCCGATTGTATCTATCTCACAATATCTATCGTATTAATCCAAAAAAACATTATGTCAATATATTGATATTTGAAAATCACATAATAATTTACTATTGTGATATTGAGAGGTGGAAGAATAGTGAAAGTGTTGTGAATAGGTTTTAGCATTCTTTTGTCCCAATAATCACATATATTATCATATTATAAAACTTTAATTTCTTGACCACCATGTTAAGGAAGGGGGACTATGAGCACAAATAGTTTTTGAAATTGTTTTTGATTTGACAAGATATTGAATTCGGGTCAACAGAACGACATTTATTATAACAGTAATTTAATTCACTAACTTTTTTTTTTGTTTTGTTTTGATTACAAGAAAATCCTCTCTACTCTCCCGCAGGTCTAAGGTAGCGTTCCTTACAGAGATCACCAGGATATCCTGTTAGCTGTTACGAGCGAGGAGATTATGACCTGGGAACTTATCCCAACCTCTCAAGACAAGCTCTACTTAAGTCAAGACTCGCACAGTGAGGGAGCATTGAACCCACACCAAGTGCTGATTAGACAATTTGAGGTCTAACCTTCTAACAAACTATGCTTCGCCCAGGAGATTGGTTCAAGAGAAAAGGAAATTAAACATTTGACCTTAAGACTTAAACCTCAAACCTTAATCACAATGCCACTCACCCTTGAGTTATTTAATTCACTAACTCACTAATATATTAGTAGGACCTAAATATAATTGATATGTTTATTAAGGTGCCCATTGTAAAATGATACATACGGGGGAGGTGAGGTAATGGTGATTGTATACAACAAACGGGTACTATTCAATTTAGAGATGATGTGCCTGTTTGGCAGAAATTATTTACAGCTTATTTCAGCTTTCAGCTTAATTTAAACTATTTTGATATGTTTGGTTTAGCTTATAGCTTATAGCTTATAGTTTTGTGGAAGTCAGAAATCAACTTATTCTTTGAGTGGGGTAGGAGATGCTTTAAGAATAAGCTGGAAATCAGCTTAAGCTAAAAGTTATAAGTTATAAACTGTTTAGGCATAAGCTATAAGCACTTTCCCACAGCTCTACCAAACTGATATGAGGTAAAAAAATATTAATATGTTTGGAATAATTTTTTTGATTTTTTACCAAAAAAAAAAAAAGAAAAAAAACGTAAAAAAAAAATAAACAAAAAAAATATATATATAACCATTTTTTATAATTATTTAAATTTATATTTTTTTAAAATAATTTTTTAACTTTCTAGGGTTTTTAGTTT